AGGCCTCTCTCATCACCTTTTAAACATGGTCTAGTGGTAATCCCCAGTGTCATTATCCAAAACCTATTCACTATTTACAACACTGCTAGGAGGACGTGCAACAAAAGACATACTTTGGCTCAGCAGCTGGAGTCTGTTTAACTGCTTCTCCGTGTAGATTTCTATGGGGACTTGACGAATCATGCGGACTGAAAAGTGATCCGGCCACGTTCCAGTTTGCGCATCCAGGACGCCAGCGGGGGCCAGATGAGCAGAGTCTACCCCTGACCATCTGTGTGTGATGGGCTGCAGTCCCATTCACGTCGCTCCTGAATTTAAGCTCTCATTGGGAGAAACAAATTACAGTTGTGTGTCCGCTGTGCCGCTAAAAGGGCTCAGATTGGAGTGGAGGCTTTTTGGGTCCTTTCAGTTCCACCAAAAGCACATCTCACAAATGTGTAAATATCAGACAGACCAGGATTACTCTCTTTGATTCAGATGGAGGGAATGCAATTTGTTTCTTGCATTAGAGAATGGTCTAGTGTCTACAAGCCATAGATCGTGATTTTAATCATTTAAATAGCTGAATAATGCATAAACTTCCGCCAAGATAAAAGTACAACAAAGCAATTAGAATTACAGTGGACCCAGACAATAGCTTTTCTGTTTTTCCAATTTGGGTAATGATTTCGATTCGTCAGTTCATTTAGAAAGAGTAGATTTACAGTAAGGTAACTAAAGATATTGGTTTCTTCTGTTGTGGGTGGGAAAAGTAGAAGTGCCTGTGTTTCAGAATTCCCACTCTTTTTCACTGACAAAATTTCTAAACTTTTCCATGATTTTTTCATGACCTAAAGTGAATTTTCCATGACTTTACAGCAATTTACAGCATTAAATATGAAATGTTAACCCTTTCCACTAACCTTAAAGTCTGGTATTATAGTTTTTTAACATTCAAAATACTGTCAGTGCATTTATTGTTGTCTTTAAACAAAAAAAAACAAACAAACAAAAAAAGGCACATATGTTAATAGCCAGGGATGTAACAATAACCGAAATATCGTGATATCGTATTGTCAAAGTTGTCACAATAATATTGTGAACCATCACAATATATCGAATTAGAAGTCTCTTTGCTTAAATTAAGAGTTATGGTGCAGCAATAGCTAAAAAAAAAGACAGACGGAACTACATAGACCATGATCCATTTCAGTGTAGACTATAATAGATAATAGAAATAACAGTTCTAAGCACCTTTAAGTCTTAGTTCTTTGGATTGGTCTTGTCAAGGCATTTTAAGAGAAAAAAGTAGCATATTATGTTTTGTTAGCCTCCACAAAATATCGCAATAAATATCGCACTGTGAGATGTATATAGGGAAAATATCGTACCGAGAGATTTGGATATTGTTACATCGTGAGCCTCCCCACCATATCATGAGCTTTCCCACGATATCGCAATAAATATCGTACCGTGAAGTTCATACCGTGACAATATTGGATTGTGAGACTTGGATATCATTACACCCCTAATAATACCCTAATGATAACTTAACACAAAGCTGTAGTTGGGTGAAAGAGATACTAAAATTCTATTACTTTTCCAAAACTTTCATTGAATTAACAAAATCCCATGACTTTTCCAGATCTGGAAAGTGGCATTTTCAATTTCCATGACTTTTCCAGGATTTCCATGACCGTGGGAGTCCTGAGCATTAAACTGTATTAAAGGAACTGTATGTAGTCTGCGCTCTTAAGGTTTTAAAAACGGTATTGCAATTATAGCTGCATCTCATTTGGGATGCCAGTGCCTTGGCCTGGATTTAGAGGACACATTCAAGTTTTTTTTTCTCATTCTCAGTATATAGAAAGATCATGCTTCATATGAAAGCTCAGAACCTCCAAAATTCATCCATCGAGCTGTAGAGGCCGCACTAGCACTGAATCATAAATGGCTGTAGGTGCTGAGGTTTAGGTAGTGATAATTCAGATCAGAAAGAGTCCTTTAAGTAGAAACAAGTTCATCCAGATTGGCATGGTCAGATCATCCTTTTTACATTTATCTTCAAACATCAATCGTATTTAGTTTTTTCTGTTGAGAGATCTAACAGTAAGTGTAAATGTAATTTGGATGTTACTTGTGACAATTCTGGCAAATCCTTGACTCTTTTCGCATCTTTTCACAATCACATAAACGCCATATCTGCGTTGTGATAACGTTAATGTCCAATGCTGCGCCAAAAAATGATTTATGTGGAACCAAAGACGTGTGCATGTTCCACAGTGAAGACATGACGCACCCTTCTGTAAAAACAATACCTCTCGATGAAACCGTGGTGGTCTGGAGGTGATCTTATTTATCTGTGTGTCTGCGGCACAGAGGGGAGCTCGTGTCTTTGAGCTATGATTAATTTATGTGGGCCATGTCAGGGGACTAAGCGTAGCCCATTTTTCAGCTTGACAACTAAACTCAGGGTTTTCAGCATGGGGGGGAAAGAGCTGCCTTGCCATTGCTTCAAATGGATGTTCATGCCGGCATAAGGAGATAGCACGAATTCATAGTATAAAGCCAAGATAGTCGTTTTGAATTCACTCTTAATTTGCCATTCACATAGACACACTACCAATTTATGCATCATTACTGAGGTTCCCAAAAAGCACTGTGTTGCTCTACAACAAATAAATCCAAACTTTTTCTTTTTCTCCCCCAGCAGCTATCTTGGGGGAGTAATAAAGCCAGATTATTTTTTCACTTCAAGTCTATCTTTGTCGAATAAGTTCTCACCAACTGCACAGCCAAATCCAATGACCTGCTTTTTTGGCACTTTGTGTTTTCAAACTTTCAACCAAACTTTAAGATTATATGCAATTTAAATGACTGAAACATGGAATGGGTAAACACATTTAGAAGAGTGTCTACATCATTGAAGTAAACATTGACTAGGTTATGGGCTAGCACAATGTTCATTTAACGGTACATTTTACAGAAGATTTTACATGGTGAAGATTAAAGGTGCACTATGGGTTTTTTCTGGTGTGGGGTTCAACACCTGTCAGTCTCTGAAGATGTTATGCGTTGATGGCAATGTTTCACTGTACGGTATTACATTTAATTCCAGTTGTTATACTGTATACAAGTATATTATACAATATGCATTTTTATCTTGAGTGGGGTCACCTCTCCACAGATCTGACCAGTGACTATGCCTTATTACCTTCAAGTATAGAGTGAATGTAAATGAGTAAATGAGAAAGGCGTCATATTTCCCTTTGAGCACTTTTAATTATTCAGACTAGAGATATGTGGCCAAACCGGCTTCCACTCGCAAAAACTGTCATTGTGTCCTTAGGCAAGACACTTCACCCACATTGCCTAGTATGAAAGTGGTGTGTGCGTGAGTGATGGTGGTGGTCAGAGGGGCTGATGGCGCAGATTGGCAGTCTCACTTCCGTCAGTCTGCCCTAGAGCAGCTGTGGCTATAATAGTAGTTTACCACCACCGAGTGTGGAGAGAATGAATAATGCACCAAACTGTAAAGCGTCTTTGAGTGTCCAGAAAAGCGCTATATAAAACTGATGCAGAATTATTATTATGATTATTATTAAAGGCAATTATAAAAACTGAAAGATTAAATGTGCAATATTTCACAATAGGTTTAAATGGCAAACTCATTAAAATTCAGACACAGAAATAAAGGTTAATGGGTCTACCAATGTCCTTCAAGGAAATGAAATAATTATAGTAGTTTGAAAAAAAAAAACGATTACATGTAATTTTAAAATCGAGAAAGATGAAGATATGAGTGTGTTGTGTAAGCTGTGCAATTCACTGGCTTATGGACCACTCTCTGCTCTTTCACATTTTGAGATAATTGTGTTGCTGTAAAAAAACTGCCTGCCCAAGTACTAATTTCCCCTTCATATGTTTTATAAGGTCCTCTGTTACCCACCAACAGTTTCAAACTAAAAGTAGAGGAGCCATACTTTTCCACCCCAGAACTTACTGGACTATATTTTGTGTGCCAACATTTCATAAATCAAATGGACAAGTGTCTTTCCCCCAACACCCAAATGTGCCGTCCGGAGAGACTGCTGAGGTGACTAATGACCAGAAAGGAGGACATTTTGACAATAAAATACCATAGATAGGACATTGCAGAGGAGGGAAACCACAATACAAAATCATAGTGCTCCTTGGCATTTGCGTCTTAGCAGTCTAGAAAATATTGAGTGTAAAAAAGAACTCCCAGATTTCCAATTTGTGTCCTTCAAATGAATGTGTTACAAATCTGCTTTTCAAAATCGTATCCTGATCAAGCAGGACAAAAAAATCTGTTATATTTACACTGTAATTATAGATGTTCATTAATATGCACTGTCCCTATGAAACAAATAAATATCCAGAACATGTCTTGCTGCTTATATCGCTATCAATATTTTAAAATCTACAGCCCACAAAATGATGTTAAACTGTAGTAATTTCATAAATGAACGTTTCACTTTCAAACCAAAATGTATTTATGAGGTATAACATAATTGGACGTGTAATAATTTGCTTGATTTCCATTAATTACATTGCTGGCGAGTGGAGAATATGAGCACATATTTAAGGGATTCATATTGATAATGAAGGCCAAAGCACATTGTTAAATAATGCCAGTAGAATGTATTTATTTTTATATAATTGTGTTGTACAATGGATCTTTTGTTTGGTTTGTATATTGGCAAAAAACTAAACTACTAAACTGTTGCTGAGGTCCTCCTACATAGAGCTAAGAAATATGCAAGTGTAATTTTGTCTTAAATTAATAGTATTTTTTTACACTACACAAAAGCATAGTGGGTGGGTAAGAAAAGTTTTGGGAAGCCAGTTAGCACTTTCTGGCCTGAGTAATTGTTTTCTTAATTAAACAAGTACTGTAATCATCACAATGTTAGCACAAAAAGTTGACATTTTCAATTACATCCCAATGTTTCATAGATGAGTTTGCTGTCCAGTGTTGCTTGTTTAAAGTTACTCACCAACAGCCAGTAATGGTTGGTAGTGGCTGATGTTTTTGGTGGTGAGCGGGGGGCACATGCGGAGGGCGAATGGAGGCAGGGGGAGTCCAGAAAGTAAACCGGTCAACAGGAACTTCAGCTGGACCTCATGTTGGTTTGAGGAAGGAGGAGGGGTCTCTCCAGCAATCAGGGTCTGACCTAAAAAAGAAGATTTTAGACATTATTAATCCATGACCAGTCCACAAATAAAGCAAAAGAAAAGGGATGGATGGACATTAGTAATTAGCTATTTGGGAGTCTGAATGATTGCCCTGCACTTGTTCTAGATATGACATTACTAAAATTTCAAATACTACAATATTCAAACACAACAGATTCCAGGCACTCCAAACAAGTAGAAAAAGTTAACACATCGCACGGGGAAAAATATAGTTAAAAGGCCTTTATTTGAATGGCCAAAGCCAACATGTTTGGACCTTAACTGGTCTTCATTAGGGCTTAATTAAAACAAAACATGGGCGTGGCCTTCAAGTGGAACACATCAACCAATAGCAGGCTGGAGTCAATTGGAGGCAGACAAAACAGGTGCACAGGAACAGGACATGGTACAGGCAAAAAAAAAAAATATATATTTTTTTACAACAAAAAACATAAACACATTATCATTACCATTAATGTTTCCATTATTATTGTTACCAATAATTTATTCATATTTATTGTTTGTATCATTATTTTTATTTTATTTTAATTTATTTATTTTTATTTATTTTATTTTTAATTTTTATACATTTTCCCATTTTACTACAATATTCAAGCTCAGTTTCAATTTGATACAAAGCAATACTGATTTTTATATACAGGAGATAGACTTAGACTTTAGACTTTTGTCCCCAGGGGGAAGTTCATTTTCACGCACACAGAGCTCGTTTGACATATACACCAACAACACAGCACAACAAACACATTACAATAAACATTACAGTACACTCAGCGGGAAATGTTGTTAAAAAATGTGATGACCGAGGGGATGAGCGGGCCCTCCTCCACCTGAGCGCCCTGTACCTCTGTCCTGGGGGCAGAGGGGTGAGGTGTTCCTGTAGTGGGGAGATACATTAACATCTTCTATAGAGTACTCTGTTCTCCTCTTTTCTTTCGATTAAAACTGGGGTGACCTTGCAGTGTTAGAATTCATTTGCTCAATGGTAGGTGGCAACTTTTTTAAATTTAACCAATCACTGCTATTTGATCGTGACATATGTAATGTGCCGCTAACGGGGCTAACTAGTATATTAAGTTTTTCCCAAATCCCATAGGAATAAGGGCAATAACGTCTTTCCCCTTGATAAAATTCACCAAACATTCTCTTTGTTTTGGCTTTAAATAATCAATCTTGGGAATCGTTGCCAACACAGGCAAGGCTTTTCGCTGATTGGCTGGTGGCCGAACTCACACTTCCGGGGTTTTTGTGAACTGTCTAGTACGGAAGCCGAGAGATGTCACAACAAACACAAAAGCCACAACGCAAATGCAAATGCCGCAACACATTAAAAAGCCACAACAAGTGAAGAAGAAGAACTACAACGTGAAAAGTAAAGAAACAGAGAAGTTGGAAACGTAAGTAAAAGTAATCTATTGTTTTATCATCATTCGTTTCATGTTGTAGTTCTTCTTCTTCACTTGCCGCTTGATCGGTCCGTCGGAAAATAGAGTCCCGCTGTCACTTCCGTTGTGGCTTTTTAATGTGTTGTGGCTTTTTAATGTGTTGTAGCATTTGCGTTTGTGTTGTGGCGTTTGAATTTGTTGCGCCGTTTGCATTAAAATAGAGTCCCGCGGTCATTTCCGTTGTAGCTTTTTTTGGTGTGTTGTGGCTGTTTTTGGTTTGTTGTGGCTTTTTGTTGTGTTGTCGCATTTGTATTTGTTGCGGCGTTTGCGTTTGTTGTGACCCCTCTCGGCTTCCGTAGTCTAGTGTATTCCAATTCCTGACCTAGTTGCTGGAGAGAAATGAAATTGAGAGGAGGCACTAGGTGGCACCATAATATAGTATATGTTTAATCAGCTGGCATCAAGTCTTGGGTCTCCTGGTTAACCAAACAAAACCTACAGATGGTGTTAACTGTAATTTCTATAATGGAGCAGCACAAAAACAAACAAAATTGTATAGGTAAGTGAAGCCACAACATAGGGGGTGTTCCAAAAAGGTTAGAGGCAGAAATAGTAAGAACTTATTTACTTAGAACTTATTTATTTTTTGGTTTTACTTTCTATAAGGACAGTGGTTAATTTAGTTGAGAGGTTGGACGACTATTAAGATGCCAGTTATGGTCATAAGTTGATGCCATTAACCAACTTCATGCTAATAAAAACACTTTAGTTTTTACTCTGTGTCATTAAACTTAATATACTGAAAATCCAAGTTAATCAGAAGCTATTACAATTTATGGCTGTACAAAATAACCATTTGCTTTACCCCATTAAATTAACCTTCTCAAAGTTATATTGAATTACCGTGGGACTTTGTGGTTCAATAATTAGAGCTTCAATCAAGCATCATCAGATTTTGAGCTATTTTCTTAACTATATACTAGCACGACATCAAGCGTTATTCTACCAAACCTATATTAACAAGTATTTTCAATGAGCTGAATGTTAAAATGAGATCGTATTTTTAATTGCCCGGTCATGTCCTTTTGATCTTCATCGTCTGAGTGTAACCTCAAGTTTAATTCGAGTCAGAAAATCCATTTTATTTCCCCATCATGTTTTATCATCTATTTAAAATGCGTGGCAGCTCCAAAGATAATGGCGCAAGATAATGATGAAACTCCAAACAAACAACATAAAGACAAGATGTAAAGTCAATGGGTCATGCTACGGTTTCAGCTAGGTTCTTTGTAGTAGTCTGTATTGCAGTAGAGGCAACATCAATTTTTTATGAAAAGGTTTTCTGTCCCATTAACTGCCAAAATATATGCACTCAGGACATTGCATGTGTTGAGGTGGGATGTAAAACTCCAGTGGCTAAACTGGAATAAGACTAATCCACACAAAAGCTGATAGCTTGATTCCTGTTCCCACGTACTGTTGGTTCCTTAGGCAAGACACTTAACATCTGAGAGAAGATCTAGCTGATGATTAACAGTTAGAAAAGATCAAAACGCAATTGATTAAAATCTGATTAATTGCACAGAATAGTTTTCCTTTCTCATACCAACCTTGTCTCATTCATTCTTTTGCTACTTGGTCACTTGACAAATGCTTAAGTTAACTACTGATTTCTTTAAGTTTCCTTTAACTCTTTCAAATACTTTATATTTGGAAAAGATAGGCTAGTAATTAAATGGACCAGTATATAGTTTCTCTTGTGTTTTTAAACAGGTAATATTATGCAAAATCAACTTTTTCGACCATGTTATAACATTCCCTCATAAAAGAATAAGAACTTCGCACATCATTTACTAGAGATGGGTGCATCGGAGGAGAGGGAGCAGCCCAAGAACATAGAGAAAAATCCCGCACACCGTCTTACTTGAAAAATGTATTATTTTTCTTATTATTCAATGAGTTTTCAACTAATGATTAATATTTCATTATTATTATCATTACACTGTATGTTGAGTGTCTTTGTTTTTTGAATTATGTGGTTTTGAGTGCACTATTTCTTTATGACCCATCACCCTTGGGTGCTTGCCATACTCTATTTAAGATGGCCACCTGAGCTCTCATTCTGTTTGCCTGACGAAGGCCTAGTGCCGAAACATTGCACGGTTTGTCCTAATAAATCTCACAATTTGCAAGTAAGACGGTGTGTGGGATTTTTCTCTAACATTCCCTCATCAAAAATGCACCTAAAGAGTTTTTTTTTTATTTTTTATTACAGATGGACCAATATATCGTTTGACTGAGATTTGGATTTTTCAGTGCACCGATAAAGAGATAAATGCTCAAAAAAAGGACTAGACAGATCCAATTTAAGTTTGTGTCTATGGATGAATATGCAGTAAACATTGCAGAATTTGAGGAAAATATTCAAAATCTACATTACATATCAGCCCAAAAATGTCATCAGAGCTTATAGACCAGTGGCTTCTCTGAATTCTTAACAATGGGTATTGGGATCGACCATGAAAGAAAAAAAAAAAGGTTGATCTCTATTGTAATGTGACGGCGCTCTGAAGTGGGAGTGACTGTGCAAATAGAAGAGGGAGGGGGGACTAAGAATGTCAAAAACAAAAGTGATGTTTTTAGCAGAGGCGGCGCTACCATTAGGCAAAAGTAGGCAGCTGCCTTGGGCCCCCAAACCTGGAGGGGCCCCGACCAATTGCCCTCAGTGCCAAGCAAAAATGTGATAGGAAAAAAAATAAAACTACTCCCAGTTCTGGTTATCTAGTAGGCTACCTAACTAATAAAACAAGTTACCAATCCACCATAATTTAAATAAATTGAGATGTGCATGTCTCAAGAACAATGGGAAACAGACAATAAATATATTAAACAAGACAAAACAAAAAAAATGGTGCATTGTAGTGACAGCCCCAAACTCAAGTTCGTCTAAGGCCCCCAAACTGCTAACTCCGCCACTGGTTTTCAGTGAGTATATACTTTTCAAAACACTAAAACTAAAAGTAACATGGTGATCTAAATATGATAATGATTTAATGTTAATCTTTTTATCTATGGTGACTGACAGGTTTGTGGCTCTAGCACCGGGATAAAGAACGAATAACTGTCAAATTCATGAATACAAATAGATGTATCCTTGTTATACTGGATGCCCTGTGTAGTTAACCTCAGCACCAAAATTATGCAGTCTCAGTAACACCACAAGTTTTTAATTTGTTTATTTGCATTCTCCCGCCAGCATCTACATGCCAGTCCACTGTCAAACTATCTATCAAATTTTAATTAGCCTCTACAACTATGCAAGTCAGAATTCCAGTATCCTGCAGGCCCACAGCTTCATAACAAAGGGCTTTATTCACCAACTGTCACTCTGAGCTGTAGCTTCAGGCAGTCAGCAGTCTCCGAGCACGTTTGTGTGTGGCAGAAATACAAAATCCTCCCTATGCACATTACAACAAGCACTGCACTCCCCCAAGGGCCGCTGACTCTCTGACAGTTCGGCTCCCCTGAACAACACGCAAATAAATAAAAAAATGCATATGATTACGATTTTATCACTCACATTTGGGAATCTTTGGGAGGAGAGACAGAGGGTGAGATTGTAAGATGAGGTGAGCAAGATTTTGAAAAAGTAAGGCCAGAGCACCCTCGGGAGACTGATACTGTCCTGTCTACTGATCCTCTGTATAGCAACATAAAAGGGTTACAGAAAGCTACGCCCTCAGGCCACAAACATGAGCGGTAAATATGAGGCATGGGAACACTACAATAAAGTGCTGGACTTTATATTCTCTCTCTGGAGTTTTAAAAAGTAAAAGTTGAGTGTCAAGTTAACTTTCATGACTTGAGACCAGATGGTACAAGGGTAAGATCTAAAATGTCCTCAGTGACTGTACTTTTAGCATGAAGTCAGAATTTTTGGTTAGATTTTATTATTGTGTTTCTTGTGTGTTCTAAAAGGTGTCACAACAGGAGGTCAGATGACTCAACATGGAGCAAGAATAAATTACAAAAAATAAAAAAATAAATAAAAATACAGTACTGGATGTGTGTGCATGTGTGGGGGCGCATATTCATCACATTGTAGGAAAATCTGTTTGTGAATCTATGGAGAAAAGCAAACTCCTATGAGGTAAATAATTCAAGGTTATGTAAGGGTAAAAGCTAAAGCATCACAGCGAAGAGTTGTGCAGCTGTTTGCACCTCAGACAGACGGCTGCACAGCACGATAGTGAGTAGGAGTTTGCAAAAATATTGAAATATCGACATATCGTATCACTTAATGTGATGATACAGTATCGATATCGTGGGCTGCTGTATCAATATATCACCAAGAGTATTTTTTGGTATATTTTACTACATTATTTTGTTACAGCACTGCAGTTTTGTTGCTTATTTAGTGGAAGGAAATTTGCTTATGTGACAATTTGACATTTTCACTGTTTTGATGATTAAAATGTTTGTGTTTCATTTTCACTTTGCACAAGAAGTGGTTTACTAAAGACTTTTAGTATCACAGCCACAATTTAGCCATTATTTTTTATTGAACCGTATCAAATCGATTTGAAATATATCGTATCAAACTGAAAGTGCACTGTATCGATGATATGTATTGTATCAAGGTATGTATCGTATTGGCAACTTCTTAATGATATCCAACCCTACAAGTGATTAATGGATTAATGGATTTTTTTTACTGAAAAATAAAATAAAATGGTCCGAAAGGAGCTGCACAAATTGCAAACTCAAATTTTACAGTAACACAAGTTTTTTAAGATTCTCTGTCAAACATGTTCAGAGGTCGCTTGATTGTGGTTGATGTCAGACCTGCGTGTTTTAATCAAACTGAGGAAACATGACTTTGTTCTTGTTTGTGGTGAAGCTCCTCCGTCTGGAAAATTCAAATTTAGCGGGACACTGGAAAGTTACAGGAGCAAAGGACACAGCCGTGTGCATCCAGGAGGACTGTGAGAGCTGCTTGGATGTAATTTCACACACTTTCTGGCCTGCCTGAATGTGGTCATTGTAAACATGTTTGTGTTTGCATTATTATTAGAATTATGGGTTAAAGTAAGGCAAGACAATTTAAGCAAGGGATTTTTTTTTTTTTATTACCTTGACGCATTTTAAGGCACGAGGCAAAATGTATTTACATAGAATAAAAGCTGGGGTGAAAAAGGCTATTGAATTAAACATTTACCCTTCATTTAAAATGACTTGCGTAACCCAGTTGTGTGTCTGTGATGTCTGCCTTTTCATATTTGCTTTTTGCCCACAGCTGACCAAAGACACTGTTGCCATAGAAACATACATTCTGCCTGATAAAAAGCATCTACAATAATTTATTATAATCAAAAGGCTGACCTTGCATTAGCCTGCGCTCACATAGCAGAACAGTCTGAAATGTTTTGAATACTTCTTTGAAAAGGTAAGAATTTATTTATTCATTTTATTTTTTGTCAGGAAGGAAATGTCCCTGCCGATGTAGCCAGGGTACAGTTCACAGCCTGTGGAAAAGGTGTCTGTGGATTGGTAGTTCAAGTCCCACTCCCCCAGATTCATTAGAGATTACTGCTGTCCTTTAGCAAGACATTTCACCTACATTACTTGCTCCAGTCACAGTATGAACACAATATATCATTTATTCTCAGCAGACACCAGGCACATAGTGTTTCAGCAGTTTTACAGTAAAATACTACTAAGCTTTCATTTTTCTGTGTTGATGTTAACGTTTATTTTTGTAAGATATGCATATTCGCAACTGAGATAAATTTAGGCATTATTTTTGTTTTAACAGATGGACTCACAGTCTGTTAGGTAGATGACCTATTTAGTCATTGTCATTTATAGCTTAAAAAATAATACGTACAAAGTTTGTCAGCCAGGAAGTGAGCAAAAAGTCTTGGAATGATTGAGCTGAGTTAAAAATACCAGCTAAAATAATTTGTAGTGCATAGATTTCAACTGCAAACCCTTTTGCTTTATTTACTGAATTAACCAAAACTAATAATTTCATTGTATACTTTTATCAAGTTCGGAAATGGCACAAATACACAGTAGTTTTCACCTCTTTGCTCACAAACAATTTACAATATGGTCTAAAGGAGCATTATGTCACTTTTCGCCACATGCTTGTCTCAGTGGAGATGTTATTGGATTACCCAAAATGTTCCACAGCATGTCATTAATCACATATCTCCATGGAGAAAAGCAGACAGTATCACCAGGCCAAGAGACAGATGAGATCTTTTTTCTTTTAGCAATAAAAACTGTAATACATAAAACACAATATACATGTTTATTTGTGGAAGCTTACAGGTAAAACATTAAAATCTCCATGGAAAAGACCAGGTATGGTATCCCCACCAGGAAAGCTAAATATCGCATCTTTAATTGACACAACATTATCTTTAACATTTATTTAATCCAACACAATAATGTATAGTGCCATGTTCTTACCGATCATGCTGTTGAGGGAGAGATCCTGAATCCTCTTTTGGTTTGGACCCAACGGAGCGCCACAGAATGCCACAGGAGAGTAAAGTGGAGACAGACCTGAGCTGTAGGACAAATGAGAGATACTAAATGATCTCGAAATATTATTCATAAAATTACATAATCAATGAAATGGAAATACATAATGGTAGTGGTCACAATATGAACTTCCAATTCACAAAAACGGCTAACCAACTCTATGCTGAATAATCATTTGTTGTCTGTAACAAAGTAAATATTAGAAAGTTGGATTTTATGGAAGGCTAAAGCAGATGGATTCACACTGTTAAGAGAATAAACATGTTTACAGTATTGTCTTAATAGTATTGTATTACTAATCTACAGTGTTTATCAACCAAGAAATGAGCACAACACTTGTAAGAATGTTTTTGTCAATAGTGTTGTCACAAAAATGTCACTAAAATTTCACACTCAATTTTGATACTAGTGAACAGACTTGATAGTCAATACCGATTCAGATACCACTATGATCATAAAAAACACCATTTCTTTAGACAAAAGAATGTGATTCAACATTTCAACATTGAATAGTACTTTCTTTTCTATTACATGTGGTCTTATATCTGTTCATACTGGCAGGTTCCATAGTGGTTCATGGGCATATTCTAAAATTATTCAGGATTCATTTCTGTCCTGTGAATTTGACTTTTTTAGTATCAATACTTGCTCAAATTAGTATCTAGTTTTAGTATTGATTAGTATTTAATTTTTGATACTATTCATTTTGACCTTTGGAGATGTCAACAGACTAACTAATAAGGCAGGGTTACTCAAATGTTTGAAAGAAACAAAACACAACTCCAGGTATGTTTTGATGAGTTGACAACATTCTAAAACCAATAAAACCCCACAAGAGTCAGTTTTGCATAACATATGACCTTTAAAGCTTTTTTCTTAAAACAAAAACAGCATTTTTGCTCTATTAGCTGCCTGACACAAACATAACAGAGCAAAAAAAAAAAAAAAAAAGCTTGAAATCTAGCAAAGTGGTTCCTCTATAAATAGTCCATCTTCATTTATCGTTATACGGTTGGCTCAGAGTGACAACATAGCGTCTCTAAAGAGTGTAGCAGGAATTATTAGTCACATCAGTACACACTACCAGTGCCAGAACCTCTTTTAAACATTTGTTTTAAGCTTTGTGTGCCAAACAGACAGTGAAAGGCAGAATGCTAAACAAAACGCAGAGGGGGATTTGAATGTCAATTGAATTCACAGGAAAAAGACAGCTGGCTGCATGGGACCACCACTGAAATGAAAAGGATTCGTGTCAATTTTATGTTATGAGAACACTAAAAAGGAAAAGCAATCCTATCCTAATGAAAGTCTTATCAATCCAAAATAAGTCTAATTTGAGTGGAGATTTATTTGTCTAACCATATCACAAATTTGACTAGTGCAAGTATTTTATCTGCAAGTTAGAAAAACTTTATGTAGAAAATATAAGCTTCTAAAACATTGTTGTCATTTCCAAATGCATTAAAATAAAGTACCCGTTTAACATACATCATTTTGCTTGCAACGCTTTAGGGCACAAATCTCTTGCTTCCATCACACGGAACTTGCCACATCGGCGAAGCTTGTAATCATCTTAAATGTACCTCCTCCTACCTGAACAATTTAGTGAGAAATCTAAAATTAGCCCAGAGGATTATACCCCTTTCAAACCACTGAGTCAGTCAGCTAAGTATCTCAACTTTTAACTGTATGCTTCTGCAATTGCTGTCTCTGCTTCAAATGTTTGAAGCTCAAACATATGTGACAAAAATATTCCATTGAAGGTGTAAAATGTAAATCAGAAATAGAAGGATTTGCAATTTTCAGCTACCGTGACATAAGCATGAGTGATATGGATGAACCATCTGGCCCAAGGACATAACAACAGTATGTGCATGACAAGTTTCAAACACCTACCCACCATACCATGAGCTGTGCAATTTATAGAAATGTCATTGAACCAATCGTTTGCAGATTGCAATGATCAGCCTGTGGTTTGTAGACAAAATGGTTTCAATCCTGAGGCAGTAGGGAGTAGATCTTAGGGAGGAATAAATTTAAATGTTAAAATATGAGTGTAACTTTTACGTAACTTTCCCATCTATGAAAATGTTATATAATATGTGACTTTCCATGTTATGTTTGTGATTTTCTGGAAATGAGTGATCCACTCAGTTTGAGTCATTAAGGCATATACCATTCACCAATGTTAGTTTAGCAGCATAACTTATTTTATCACATGGTGATAAGCTGCTGTGCGATGGCATCATCACTAGGTACCGTTGCAACTTCATGATAAGTGAGTAAACAGCTTTCTGCATTCGGGTTGGGCGCATCTGCTCTGTAGATAAACACAACAAATAGTCCATCTATAGTTTTGTGTACCTGGGATTGACTGTGGTCTTGCCAGAGTGTGCTTTGAGCTCCCATAGCATAACTCTTCCATCGCTGACCATCAGGGCAGCGTTGTTTTCGTTGACAGGGCAGATGACCATTCGATACGGGCGCACGGTCTTGGTCACTCTGATGGCATCGCACTGAGAACGCAGGTCGTACACAAGCTCCTGCACTGTCTGCTCTGGGTCTGAAAGGAAAATGAGAAATGTAAACTAATGTTAAACAGTGTAAAGTCAAGAAACAATACACAAAAACATACAATTTCAGGAAGGCATTGTACAGAGTAGAAGCACTGGTCTTATTTTTGCATTGGTTTGGATATACAGTGCCCTGACACTGTAATCAAGATTCAAGCGTCTACTACAGAGATAAATATGCTTGGAACCAAAGAGTACATGGTTTTACTCTACTTTTCAAATTGTATTTATGGGTTTCAGCTTCCACTTACACAATTTAATGATGTTTCATCATTGAAAGGATATTTACGTTTTAATTATTATGCAAACACTCCTAATTTTTTTTAATCATTCTGAAACCCATAGATAGTCTGGAACATATCCCATCTCTACAGTTTCTGATGGGTGTGACTGACACGTGTAGTAACCAATCAGAGAAACACATGGTCCATTTGTGCCAAAAGAAACGTAATATAAAAAAAAACCACAGAGAACTGAGATACTGCACAGATTTCTGCGGAATCTAAGCACTAAATTCTGTAAATGTGAAGTAAAACGAGATTGAGTTCTGAATGTTAGCAGGATATGAGGAGAAGTCTACCACATTGAAAAGACACATGCATGCTATAAATAAGCAACAATGACTGGCACATCCCAAGTAAATACAGATTTAAATGAACTTCATGGTCTGGTTCTAGACCGTTCTGCATTTGAAATGAAACGAAGAGGGGCTGTTGTGAGGCAATACGTCAATCCACCCTCACTAGAGCCTTAGAACCTTACTACAACTACATCACCGTTCATTTTTAGTGAGTAAAAGTTAAGATCTAACTTTCAAAACAGAGCAGAATACATTAACATCCACAGGGATACACACCAAAATGAATTATTTACTCTACAGCCAATGACTAAAATTGTTCTTACAACAAAAATAGTGAAACTTTTCCACTATATATTGGAATGATAGCAGTAAAAAGTGATAATACATAATGATGTCAGAAGTAATTGAGCTGAAATAGAGATACGCTAGGCAATCCACATAATGAAGCAGCTGGGAAAAGGAAGACATTTACATTAGAAGGTGCAGAGAGGGGAGATAGTAAAATGACTAAGATAAGATTCAAGAGCACATAAGGGACTCACAGTAAGTAAATGGCAAAGGAAAAAAGACCAGGTGAGATAAGCAGTAAAATAAATGTAACAAGTGAGGTGGGGACATCAGACCGGACAATGAGGTCCCATTTCACAAAGCTGATAAAACAGTATCTTAAACTTTTGAAGGCAAATTCTCTCATGGGCACAGGGGCAGGTTAGCCTAGACAGCTTAAATGAAATAAAAATGCACTGGATTTATGTAGTGCCTTTCAAGATACCCAGAGTGCTTTGCATTGCATTATTAATTCACTCCACACTGTAATTTGATAATTTAATTGAATATAAGCCAGCAGTCCAGTCCAGTTAGATAAGTATGGTAGATTAATTCAATAAAGCTTCTTTCTTAACTTTTGGATCCTTTATTTTCAGAGTGGTATTTTTTCTCTTTTGAGTATGATGACAAACATGGCTAATAACAGAAGGAACAGTATTTTACAGACCTGATGCATCTTCAGTGGAGGTGGAGCGACACACACGCAGAGTGATACATCCGTTTTCATGGAGGCAGTACAGGGCGTCCCGTTGGGCACAAGGGATCACCTATATTATTACACAGAAGAAACAAGCAAGTTGTATCTTAAATTACCTTTAGGAATTAATACATGTTCAGTAATGAGAAAAAATAACCAGAGCTCTGTTAAAACAAATAATTGTGTTTTAGTCTGGGGGGAGTTTGTAATGGGCAACATTAGCCTCAGCAGCAGGAGGTGTCCTTGATTTAATGGCTCTATCAAACATGTTGACTGCACCGATTTACTATTAGACTTCTCAGGAGCCAAAGATGAATCTGAATGACAGTTTATTGTGGCAAAAACAAGGTTGTGTAAAAACAAGGCTAATAATCATGTGAATTTATGTGTTTAAGCTCCTCCTTGTATAAGCAATGCTCAATCAAAGAGATGTGAGCTCTGTCTGTCGACAGCAAAAAACTATTCATCAACACCTCCTCCAAAAGAAAAAAAAAATCCTTCAAATGCATAATTTTTAGCATCTTAAAACATGACGAACATTTCAAACATTTTGCAGTGATCCAAATGTATTCCTCTTCCACATTTATCTATTAAACGCAATCATTTATTAGCACTTTTCCACACTTTTAGAGACCAATTTTCCTGTCACACTGATGATAACAACAACTAGCATGTTAACGGCACACTTCCTGTTTATTGGACAATAAAATACTTTATAATTTCATGCAGGCAGCTCACAGTGGACATACAGTATTCTGACCTCAAGAGCTGCTTATAAAATATTTCTGTACTGGGCCAGACAAATTTTGCTCAAATAAGTTGGAAAAAAGTGTACAGGGCCTTTAACCCTTTATGTCAATAGTTAAATTTGGAAGCTAGGTATCACATTATAAACCAGGTTCATGCATCTGTAAAGTGTCATCAATACTAAAGGCTGTATACATGACTTTCATGCACTGTACATGATAGGCCTCCATTCGTTTGCATTTGCCTGTATCTCCATAGCCCTTACATCTTCCCCATTTTCCCCGAAGCCGTGTGATCAGTCATGCAAATTGGCTGCATGACAAGCACTTTATAACACTTAGAGGGGAGAGGCTTGGACCAGGCCCGGACAGGACAGCTGAATAATAACTACGCGCTCTCAAGCTGTGACTTTGGGGCCGACTTCTGGACAACAAAGCCCTTCTCTGCACTTTCAGCATCATTTAACTATGAGTAAATGGATTTAACCTAAAATGCTGTCAAGACACATAAATATGATTTATGGGGAAAATGAAAATACATGATGTTTTGGATAAAGACATGTAAGTGCAAATGACATTATTTTGACTTTGTCTTGTTATCAACACAAAACTGTCTTGGAAAGGTACACTTTTGCTTACTCTAGGTGTACATTAACTGCAAGCCGGTGTGGTTCTGGACTCACGTGGGTCTGGCAAGACATGCATAGTTATTAAAGCAGATCTATTTTGCTATTCTCATGTTGCGGTTATTTCCCCTCACCATTTAGTCACTCATAGTTGTGCTAAAAGTAGTTATTTGGCCAACAATACTGAAGAGCACCAGGTAGGCTACTCAACTCAACTTGAGATCCAGTGAGCACTACTGACCTTGTTCTCAGTACAAGCACGATATGTCTTCTTTAAAACCAATGTTTCCTATGAGACTGGCCTCAGACCTCGGCGGGCATAGGTCCGAGTGAGGTGCAGGTCTTTGTAAAGCACACTGCAGCAGTCAGGAGCAGTTTTCAGGTCATTACACGAGTGCTATCGAGTGAACACAGGTGAAACACTGCTGCCTTGGTCAAATACGCACCACAGTACACCGTAGTGGTAGTAGTAGTCAGTCTGCATGCATTAGGTGTAAATCCAGCGTTAAAATGTTAAAACGTTCCCCAAATTCAAGAATTTTAATTTAATGCAACACTTAACCAGGTCATACTCTTGCTCGAGACCGAACTGTGTAGCCAAACTAACTTATTTTTCCATTACTGAAAGAACAACTGTGACAAATCCTCCATCTAAAAGTTTTATTTGCATTTCTAATCATTTAGTTAAGTAGAAAACATGGGAACTTATAGAGGTCAGGCAGCTGCTGGCATTGAAAAGTGTAAGTAGTTGGTGCCACACATTACTTCTAATCAGGACTGGGCTGACCTGCTGAGTCTCCATCACACAGACATAAGGTGAGACGGAAAAGAGAGGAGGGAGTTTAACACTCACAGCAGGATGAACTACAGTGGGTGAACAGGGAACTATTGGAAACTGATTTCTGAGAAGCACCTGCAGTTTTCAGTTTAAAGAACATATTATGCAAAACTGAACATATCAAGAGCTGCATTTTTTGCTTCATTCGCGCTTTTTTCATTAAATCATTTATCTGTTAATTCGAGCAGAGAGACCTTAGTTTAAAGTCAATTACATTTTCTCCTTCTTAGATATGTATGAAAATATATAAACAAATTAACTATAAACAAATAATCAAAGTAGTCTCTGGGCCCTCAAAAGTTTTAGGCCCATAAACACACAAATTCATTCTAAGGTAAAATTATGTTCACAAAAAATGCCTGACTTTATTAGTATAGCATTCACTGGAGGTAAGGACTTCCTTTGTTGCCATTGTTGGCTCCTATTCCTGAGCTCCAAAGCCTAAATGCCTCAATTGAAAACTAATGTGTAGTTTATAAAAGGTATACTTTCCAAATGAAGACATTATTTTAAGTTAGAAAATATGAAATATTAATCCCACGGTGACTAAAGCATTTTTAAAGGAGAATTAAAGCCACAAGAATGCATAATATGTATTCTTTAAGCACAAACTGCAGAGACGGTTCATTTAAGGGAACGTACATAAATAGCATTATGTTGACGGCCATGGGCTAAATCCAGGAAGGTTTGAAATAGGAAAGCAAAGTCTTACCTATATTTATCTAACCTGCAGCAGTAAGCTAACTAAGCTGTTTTCTCTGAAATCCACACGCTAAGCTCCTTTTTATTAAAACAACGCATAAAACAAGTGCCGGATGAAACTAACCACAAAGAAGCAAATGGTGTTTAGGATATTTTTAGTAATGACCAATAGACACTTTTATTCTTTGGCTTTTATTGTGTTGTTGTTGATTTTATTTCACTATGTGCATCACTTTTGGTCTCTTTATAAAATGTGCTATAGAAATAAAGTGGACTGGATAAAAGAGGGATGCCCCATGCTGCGTAATCTATTCCGGTTATAGATACGGGAATAAATGCATTTATCTTAAAATATTTTCTAGAATAACAATGGTAGAAAGCTGTGGTTAGACAACAATACTGGCAGTATAATATTTTTTACTTGGCTTTATGCCCACTGTTAAAGTGCCTGCCAACAGATCAGCATCACAATTAGACAAAAACAAATAATCATGGTTATTCAGTTAACAACATAATCACAAAAGGAAAAAAAAGTTATTTTTGTTCAATCTATACTTACCATATTTTCCGCACTATTAGGCGCTCTGGATTATAAGGCGCACCGTCATTAAATGGTCTATTTTCAAACTTTTTTCACAAATAAACCGCACCGGACTTTAAACAAAACACAACAGTTGGATGGGTCAGTCGGACTTTGTTTGTCACGTTCACGGTGACTCTCGGCTTGGCGCATTGGGAGGGTGCTGTCTGGGACCGCTGGATTGTCCGGCGTGTTCACAGTGACTCAGTTGTTCAGTTGTGTCTAGAAGTGGCACATCGGACTCGCTTTTTCGGTTTGTTCCTCCTTTACGTTCCTCGTCGGCGTAGTTTTTCTGCGGGTGTTTTTCGCTGTCTGCTCCGTGTGTGTTTGTGTGCGCCTGCGGGTGGTGCGGCTTTGTAGTTTACTGAAGTCGTGCTGGGATACCCGAGTGGATTCGTGTATAGGGTGCTCTGGATTGTGGGGTGCGCAGTCATTTTTTTGATGCGGTTGGAGGCTTAAGAGTGTGCCCTATGGTGTGGAAAATACAGTATACTACTATATACTTGACTATACTAAAAAGCAAACCTAGTAAACCTTTTATTTGTCTGTTTAAGTCACATTGATCAGAAAGTTTTATTTCATGAAGCTGGTACCACAGAGGAATGGTAATGTAAGAATAATTACACAATAAATATGAGACTAAGGCAACATATTTGATACTGAAACCACCCAAACTACAAATGATCTCTGACCCAAACTTTTGTAGTAAACTTTTTGTGAAACTCCTACAAAGTTTAGGCTTCATTAACCTGGATGCGAGGACAAGCTGTGCCTATGCCATACCTGTGTGAAGGGCACTCCTGAACGCTCGATGGCCACCACCCCCACAGTCTGGCTCAGCTCCAGGTCCAGGATGAGGATCTCTCTGGGATACAGCAGCAGCATGTGGTTCCTTTTGGACGGGAGGTAGGACAGCTGCAGGCAGTCATTCAGCGTCACAGCCTCCGCACTGGGAAAAAAAAACAACAGGGACAATTATTAAATTTAGCGTTGCACAATTGGTGGTTTTCAGAGTCTAGATGTGATAATTTCATACAAGGACGATTTTTCCCTGTTGACACGAATGTACTTTGAGATGACATAGCCAAAAGGTAAGTGCACACATTTTGAAACTCATCATTTGCATTAGTGAGCAAACAGTACAGTAATATAACAAAACTTCACATTTTAAAATTGACAGTCCAGAATTTTGGACATAGGCCCTCATTTCCTACTGAGCCAGAGTGTTGGAGACGTGTGGAGGCACTTTTTAAAAATATTCCATCCAGTACTTGCATTTGTAGAGGTCGCTGGTGGTCACTAAAAACAGTCATACCCACTTCATAAAACACTTAAAGCAAATGCATTACGCGCCAGATTTTCGATGTAAATGTCTGTGTCGATAGAATAATTTAGAAGTAAAACAAGCCTTGCATTTGAAGGATTTAGATCTATGGTTGTACTACTAATAGAAAGCTTGGCTGCGGCGGACTAATATCACCTAGCACCTATCTCACCAACCGGCAAAGTAAAATTCCACTGCTGCTGAGAAAATAGTCCCTCAACATGCGACTAATTGATGCGATACAAGGTTAGTTATATTTCATTTATTTTGTTGTATTTTTTTTTTCATTCTGTCAACACAAACATTTACATCGACAGTCTGGTGTAATAACAGATTTACTTCGGGTGCTTTGTGGAGTGGGTAAGACTGTTTTTAGTGGCAGGTAACTATGGCCTTTGACATGCACTAGTCTAGCACCAGCGACCTCTGCAAATACATGGACTGGATGGAATATTTAAAAAAGTGTCTCCACACGTCTCCAACACTGTGGCTCACTAGGAAATGAGGTCCTAAATCCAAAATTCTGGACTGTCCCTTTAACAGAAGTATTTTAACTGCCTCCCATCTATATTAAATATTATTGGCCAACAGAATCTTGTGACATCATCTGAGAACCAGCCACTGAAATCACAATGAGTTTCTGAAATTATTAAACCGCAAAGGCTGTAATGGGAAAAAAAAAAAAAAAAAGACAGTCTCTTTATAGAAAATCATATAATACCTTGAGTTAAAACTAAGGCAAACTGAAATGCATAGGCTTCTTGGATTTGTTTATGGGTTCATATTTCAGTCTTCTATGTTAATGCTACTGGAGTTTGTTTTACGATGTGCCCTCTGAAGAGAATCCTACTTTTTGAACATAAATTGCACATTTTATTTGCAAAAAAAACAATTCTTCTTCTATTTTTTTTTTTCAAAATTGTGCAGCCCTAGTTTAATCAGTATATTAATTTGATAACAGGGTGGACTAAATACACAAAGGAAAGCCATTACTACATTAAATTACATCTAACAGCTACCGTGGGACCACATCAAGCTCAGTCTGAAAACATTATTGTCTCTTTAATAATTTATAACTGATGTAACAGATCCACGGCTTCACCAGTGTGGCACGTTGATTGTCGATTATTTTTTAAGACTCATTTCATAAAATATATTCCCAATTATTTATGCAGACACAATTATACTTACAATATGTTCAACAATTGGTGCAGTTAAGTGGTCTGGAGTGGTCAAGTAATAAGCAATAAATAAACCAAGCTGCTAAATTGTTAAAGACTTATTAAAGATTATGTCTTGTTGATATAGCACTACAACATCTATCCTAATTAAATCAAAACTGAAAATACTAAAAAGAAATTGTGGCATTGTAATGAAGTCACGCTAAAATTTTCTTTTACATGAAGGAAAGTAGTCGCATGATGAAAAAGTTTAGTTAGAGCTTCAAGCAATTTATACATACAACAATAAAAATACACCAGATGGACACAATATACCACTAACAGTAAATTACAATGCAACACTTATAATACAGAATATTATCATGTCTCACACACCCCCAGATCATTACTGTAACTGTTTATGTTGACTGTAAAAACTTCTATATACCAGGTTTTAACGTTTTCGCGATATGATTAAATGGTAAAAAAAACAAAACAAGAAAACACAAATCCTTAGTAGCAGGTTTATCCATCAATCACTCCCCCTAGATCATGAAAAAGACACACAAATTTTACAGCGTCTTCCTGATTATTACCGACCATAGAAAGACCGCCGGATAAAAAAGGACTCAATGGGAGCACCTGTGCAAGATGGTGCACTAAATCACACCAATAACAATCGCAGCAGCAGTTTCCAGTGGGCAGAAATAGAAATATATTTGAGACCTTAAAGTGCAAGATTCTGAGAAAAACCTGCGTCAGAGCTTTGTGACAGAGGAACAAAACAAAAGAAATGTGTTCTTGGAAAAATGAAGAAAGCTTGTAACCTGATAAATGTATGAAGACCAAGATATAAAAGATACATTCTAAAAGTGTCAAACCAATTTAACAGTTGGATAAAGATCAAATACATAAAATAAAATAATCAGCCAATCTTGTCTACATTCATAATGTCAGGAACTGGACTATGAAGGGCAAAACAAACAACCAATGCGAATTCGTAGCATGCCTCTCTAATGCAGAAGACGTCTCTCAACAATTCTTGTCTAATTCAGAACAATACTGTATATATAACTTCTTTTACCTGAGATGAATAAGAGTTTGGTGCTTTGCTTGTTGATTGTTTAAAACTGTTTTTTTGTTGTTGTTTTTTTACTCAAAAGCCACCATGTTTGTTTTAATACAAATGGACTACAGTTTCTGTGGTTTAATGTGCCTGTCAATCACTCATATCTGAAGTATCTGGAGACAGGGTACAGTTCCAGACCCACACATCATTGTCAAATTAGTATTGTCGAAGCTTGTGGGTTTGGCTGGCCAGACAATCTCACAGTACTGTAGACAAGGTATTTAATTCTAAAAAGGGCTTATTACCTTACATAATTACAGCCTTAGCAGTCCACGCATTTGCAACAAGTCAAACTGCATATTTTATTTTATTGACCCAAGCTCGTAACAGAGTAACTGGCGAGGGCTATTGTTCTTTGCTGTTTTTTCTTTGCTCTCTCTGTAGGAAATGTAGGAAATCGCATCTTTCACCCCCTGAACATGGATGAAATGCCCCCAAATCAGGTATGTGATCCACTGGCCCAGCGAAAACTCAGATAAAAATAAAAAATAAATAAATAAATTGCCGCTAAAACTCATCTAGTCCTTGGTTTTTGGTCAAAATGAGACTGTATATTTTTGGGGGGGAGTATTTGCGCCCCTGCTGGTCCATCGTGGCAAATTCACTATGTCTGTAATATAATATTTTGCTCATAGTCATGCATAGAATTTAATCCCCCAATCTGGGACAAATCCAATAATGTTGATGCTTCATTTCTACACTAGGGGGTGCTATAGTGTACACTTTTCATATGCTTTATAATATATTATATTCAGGCCAAGATCACGCATTAGTGATTCAAATTCCAGCATGATTGGACTAAGCATGTGCCTCTAAGATTTTATTTTATTTTTTTTAAGTGTTTGCGCCCCTGCTGGCCAACCATGAAAAATGCCTCATGTCTGTAATAGATTTTTTGCTTGTAATCATGCATAAAATGTAATCCTCAAATTTGGTACAAATACGATAATGTTGACATTTCATGTCTATAGTAGGGGGCGCTATAGTGTTCAGTTGTATTAGTCTTCAGAGTCTTAGTTTAATATCTCTAGACCAAAGCCTGTGACCATGAGAAGTCATCAAAAAACCTTTAGGAATATTCACAAAAAACGTATACATTTTTGAACCTATGTTGTTCAGATGTAACATGTTCAATGTGAGCTCATTTGGACCAAAAAACAAACTAGTAGTGTTTTACAAACACACAAAGTGGTGGCAAATTTTTTGATCCAATATGTCCTACTTTCTGTTCGTCATGGGGGTATGCGTCAATTCAACTTTTGATTTGTCTTATTGTTCCCTATCACTGTTCCAAATTTCGTTTGCCTACGCCAAACTTTGCTTCTCCCCACTTCCATAGGGGTCCACTTACAGAGGGCACTGTTGAGTCGGGTCACTTTGGGCATTGTCATGATGCCTGTTTTGTCAAATTCCATACCCGGTTTGGTGACTTTTTGTCGATGTTTAGGCCCTCAAAATCATTATTGTTTGCATAATAATAAAACAGAAGAAGAAACGGGCAAAGAACAATACCAGTCGCCAGTTACTCTGTTACTGGCTCAGGCCATAAATCTTACACTCATATACATAGTCCAATCATGCTGAAATTTAATCATTCGAACTGAATATAATATACTATGAAGCATATGACAAGTGTACACTGTAGCACCCCCTTGTACTAAATTCGGGGATTAAATTCTATGAATGACTAGAAGCAACAAAAATATATGGGGCATTTTTTACATTGGCCAGGAGGGGTGCAAAGACTCCTGAAATACATTTATTGGTGCACTGTGTAATTTTTCTGATGAAGGATCTGCAGGCCTTGGTTCGTGTACCGGGGCGAGGGCCATCGTCGCCGCGAGCAGCTTTAATTATGATTAACCTTGCAGTCCACTTGAGAAATATAGAATCAGTAACCAGTGGAAAGAGCAGAGCACAGAGAGCACAGACAAATGTAATATTTTAACTGTTATCTGCTTGTTCAATGAATGCAAAAAAACATAAGAGTGGATGATTTAAGGATTATAATTTGCTGCATGAATATAGTATATGGATCCTACTGAGAGAGTAATTAATTTGTTTAATTATGGCTCAGAGAGTGTATAGAAGGGAGACCACCAGCAGCAGAAGAAAACAACTGGAGACGGCTCGCTGCATGAGAACATTAAAGTAGATTAAGCAAACTAACTTCAGAAAGCAAGCACTAAACCTTTTTTATTAATTATAACAAGCACTAGTTTCAAAAGCAATTCGTTCTGCATTAAGTTCCTACAACTAAAACCAGTTTACTACAAACTAAAAAAGGCTCATATAATATTTAATATTCAAACTACAAGAAAAGCAAGTTACAATTA